TCGCCTAGCAACCCGAAAGACAAGACCACGGGCGCCATCGGGCACCCTTTCCAACATATACAGGGTGTTTCAGTTTATTGTTGCATAACTTTAAGATTCGATAGAACTTTTAAAATTAATGCATAAAGTCTATATAAACATGGGTCGAAAAATGCGTGGCTTCCGAAATATAGGGTGTTCAAATTTACTTTCTAAAATAGTTTTTTTTTTAAATATTTCGAACAATATTTGATGTATAACAGTGAAAATTGGTATACAAGGGTTTTTTGGTACGACAAAATGAACCATGGGCATAGTTTTACTGTAGCCGCTAGAGGGCGCTCTCTACTGTACCTGTAGTGTATTAAAATGACCGAAAAAATGTTCTTAGTGCAATTTTTTGCTTTTTGAATAAAAAAACTGATTCTTTGCACTTTACAACATAAAAAAGCTCTCCTGTGAGTTTTCGTTATAGTTAGCCGTTTTTGAGATATTTCGATTTTTAAGGTTCGATGCATTTTTAATTATTTATGGGAAAATAATATTTTTTTTTACATTTTCGATTTGGGCAGTACAAGTAATTAAGATGATCGTTTAGATTGTGTTTCTAAACACAGCAATAATTCCTAACTCCAAATAAACACAAAAAAACAGAATATTAATTTGTTTAATTTTATAATATTATTTTTAACAAATTAAATTATATATATATATATATATATATATATATATATATATATATATATATATATATATATATATATTGCTATTGGATAGTTAGGACAAACATACAAAATCTAAAGTAGTTGCTCGAAATGTAAACCCAATTGTTCAATACACAATTCACATCTACGAATGGTCGAACGTGGTATAGCATTATGCGACCAAATATGTTGATTATGAAAATTTACCACTCCACGTCTAGTGAAGCATGACTCATCGGTCCATAAAACGTTACTTAAAAACTCCCTATTATTATCAGTTCTATCAAGAATCCACCGACAAAATGTGATTCTTCGTTCTCCGTCCCCTGGCTGTAGTCCTTGCACAGGTTGCAAATGGTAAGGACGTCTATGGTCATTTCTAAGAACACGGTGAACATGGCTTGCTGAAATTCCCAAGGCACCAGAAACTCTCCTAACACGTGTGGTCGGATCTCTATCAAACTCACGCAGAATCATACGGGTAAATCTGCGCTGACGAACATTTATGTTTTGATCCCTTTGGAGATTTCCAAAACCATTTTCAGTTATTTGGCGATGCACTCTTACAAATACTGAGCGAGTTGGATGTCGTCTGTTTGGGAATCTTCGTGCGTATTCTCTGGCTGCTTCTGCTGCGTTTCCATTTACAAAGCCATACACAAAATAAATATCCGCTAACTCTTGATTGGAGAATAAAAATGGCATTTTTATAAAACTGACAAAAAAAAAAACAGGTAAAAGAAACTAAATTTCGTGCATTCACAATTGAAAAAAAACGTTTCAGGTTTCAACAGACAACAAAACTAACTGACAACTAATTGACGTTTAACCTTATTCTGCTTTCAATTTCAAAAATTTTTGCAGGCACAGCCTACTTCTAAGAATTATGGAGATACTGACTTTTTAACGTTATTTTATCATAAATAATTAAAAATGCATCGAACCTTAAAAATCGAAATATCTCAAAAACGGCTAACTATAACGAAAATTCACAAGAGAGCTTTTTTATGTTGAAAAGTGCGAAGAATCAGTTTTTTTATTCAAAAAGCAAAAAATTGCACTACAGGTACAATAGAGCTAGCGGCTACAGTAAAATTATGTATTTTATTGTATTGTATACCAATTTTCACTGTTATACATCAAATATTGTTCGAAATATTTAAAAAAAAACTATTTCAGAAAGTAAATTTAAACACCCTGTATTTCGGAAGCCACGCAGTTTTATATAGTTTATATAGACTTTATGCATTAATTTTAAAAGTTCTATCGAATCTTAAAGTTATGCAACAATAAGCTGAAACTCCCTGTATATTGGACGCTTCTCGCACTTTTCTCTCGTAGTTATTACGACGTCAGCCAAATTTGAACCTCACCGAATGTACCTCCTTTAGCATGATGGAAATGGTAAATTTTGGGTTAAAATATCGAGAAAATGGCCTACTCGACCAATTTAGAGGTCCAAGAACCAAATTTAACTCATATAGAGAGATAAGTTTATCCTTTCCCTTTACTAAAAATTAGTTGTGCGTTTTTTTTTGTCTCGGGAGGCATTCGAATTGTCAGCCCAAGAAAATAAAAAAAAAACGAAAAAATGACTAGACTGAAGTATTTGCCGAACGAATTATCGGATCGTAATTTGCAGGGCATTTTTGAATTCCTCGGATAATGCTATTTTGGAACAGTCACATATTGGGCGACCTTATACTGTCTAGTGACAGGAGTAGCGAGACAATGGAACTGTCAAATGGCTAAAATCACTTTTTTCCGACATTTGAAACTTTAAACGCATTTCCAGAGCGAACCGTTCAACACAGGAATTTGAAATTTTACAAAGGTCATGCTCCCATAGGTTTTCTGCAGCAAAAAAAATAAAGCCCGATGAGTCATGGCCCGCCCTTCAGTATCATGAAAATGGTGAATCTTGGTTAAAAATATCGAAAATTCGATCCAAAGGCCTATCCGACCAATTTAAAGGCACTTGTACAAAATTTCATCTATTTAGGAGGATAGACTGCTCCATCTCCTTTACGAAAAACATAATTTTGTACCATTTTCCGTTTCGCAAGGTATTCCAATTAATAGTGCAATAAACCAGTGAATATTTACGCAAGAATCACTTTTAACTAAAATATCTGCCAAACGAATTATCATATTGCAATTTACATAATTTTTGACTTCTTGGACAATTTTACTTGGGAATGTTGGCAAAATGTTAAAATTTACATTTTTGTTGAACCTCCAAACTATGAAGGGTCTTATATCTTCTATCGAAGCGCCCGACCTAGGACCCTGAAATTTTACAAAGCTTTATGTATCCACCCTCTAGGTACTCTCTAGGAAACAAAATGAGTCCGATCTGAGGTATGACCCGCCAACCAAGGTCGTGGAATTTTAGTTTTGACCTAGGTTAATAATAAGAAACATGGCATATATAGTCCACTATATTCGTGATTGCACAAATGACAAAATTGCCTAAGTTCGAGTTACTCTATTTTTGATACGTTCGATGTTATAGTGTATTCCATACCGAGAAAGTATGGTGTAGTTTGTACTGGTAAACGCTCGATCAGATTACCCACTGTCTGTATATGAAATACGAACCCCTTCCCACTTCAGTTGGCCCACTTCAAGATTTGTACCAAAATATGCCTTTATAAACTAAACATGATGAAACTATTTACTTCTAAAACAATTTATTTTCTCAAAAACATTTTAGATACACTCTAGTCGTAAAAAATACATATTTGAAATCACTTATACTTATAACTAATAGAACATCTGAACAAATAAACAATGTGTGAATAAATGTGCGAAGTTAACAAAGCAACAATTGAAAGATTACCATTGGTAACATCACCTTAATTTTTTATTACGGCTGAAATTCTTTGGGGCATAGTGTTAACCAAGTTAACCAAGTTTTTGTCTCAGTTCGGTGATTGTACGAGCAGGATGTTGTCGTAGAACCTTTTTCATTTCGTGCCACAAAGTTTCAATAGGTGACAGATCTGGACTGCTAGAAACCCATTTCAAAAGTGGTACATTATTTTCTTAGATACATTTTATAGCCTTTTTTGAGGTATGGCACGCTGCACACGCTGAAACACAAAATCTTGACCGGATGTCAAACATTCTTCCATGACTGGTAAAAGCGATTCTTCTAAAATTGCCAAATATTTGTTTGTATCCACATATCCATCAATAAAATGAAGTTTTCCTACTCCTTTTGATGACATACTGCCCCAGACCATAATGGATGCTGTAAAGTTCACTTTTCTCTTCAGACAGTCAACACGGAATGCTTCATTTTTTTGCGAATAACCCTACTGCGACTGTCACCAACACAAACTTCGAATCGGGCCTTAACACTCCATTATATTGCACACCATTGTTGAAGTGTCCATCGTCTATCTTCTTTAGTACATCTAAGCCGATTTTTCTTTTGCAGTGGAGTTAATAGTGGCTTTTCTTTGACCTATAAACAAGCTGTGTGTGTTTTTACTTCACTTTTTTTTATAAGAAAACTTACCTTGCAAGTGCTAAATCCCAGTTTGTGGGCCTCTCTATGAGTTGTGGACCTCGAAATTCTCCTTCCAACCGCGTCACTCCACAGAGCACTTAATTGTAAATAATTGGCATGCCTGTTTTTCACGATTATTCTTCTTAATGCTCTTCGGTCGGCATTTGTGATATTACTTTTTTTCACATATCGTGGCTTAATAATAACTGAGCCAGTTACGTTATATCTTCTAACAATATTTCTCACACTGTACCGCGATAAGTCTAACAAAGTTGCAATTTCTGAGTTTGATTTCCCAGAATTAAAAAATTTAATTATCAGTAACAGAATTTTCTCACTAATAACCTTTCCTCTACCCATTTTGAAAACCTTAACTACCCAAAACTATTTTAAACGTATTCTGACAGCTGTGATTAATAAAAACAATTGTCATGGCATTTATTTTTCACAGCCACCTATGCGTTATAGGCTTATTTTGCATTGAAATGAAAATAGGTTGATATGTTATAATTACAACAGGCGTTATTTTTATGCTGCAAATTTGATAAGGGAGTGATAAAGTTGGTGTTTTCTACTATATATTATCATTATATTCATTGTTAATATTTTAAACCTATAACACCCTGCTACATTTTTATTATTTGTGTTTGATAAGAAAAAAACTAATATTTCAATAGTTGGGCCAACTGAAGTGGGAAGGGGCTCGTATTTCTATGCATCGATGGGTATAATATTATATCTGGTTGTTTGAATATATTCCGTTTTTACCTTGCTTAACTCAGAATATCCAGAATTTTCAGTGCCCACCCTCTTTGAAGGGTATAATGCCGAAGCTTGGTTTCTTTTGCCGTCAAGAGATTTCTCACAGATGCACGTGTAGCAATCGCATTCAAGAGGATGTTGAGATGCTTGACGATACTGGGAAGGTATGGCATCAGCTTTAATGTCTCTGGTACGGCCTTTGGATCTTGGAATATTGTCATCAAGACAAGGTTCATACCTGGCAAAAGCGAGAAAATACGTCCAAAGGATGCATGTTCAGTATGTTCTAAACCATGATGCGATTTAAGCATGTTATTGAATAAATCAATAGTAAATACAATTGAATGAAAGGGACCATTATCGATCCCTTCAGGGATGTCAGTTTCAAGACGTGTAATGGATATTTGAAACAAAGTGAGTAAAATACTTTATTATCTCATGAGATGCGATTTGAAAATACTAACTTGCACACGGTACAATCACAACCAGCCGGATGACTCACTGGTATACCGGATCCAGTTCCTGTAACAAATAAAAAATTCGGATGAGTAGTGAATCAAATGAAGACGCAAGTGGATAAAGTTGTCATGCAACATTCTTTCATTCTATGATTACTTTGTTGCAAAAACAAGATAATATTAAACAAATTAAATTAAATAGGTATTTAAGATTTCAATAAAGTAACAAGTTGCAAAAAAAATTGCAATGTCAACTTTCTCCATTCAATGATTTTGTTACATGACACCTTTGTCCACTTGTGCCTTCAAGTACACCTATAAACCGTAATTCTACGATTCTAGCTAGACCATTGATTCCCAAAGTGGTCTATATCGACCCCTAGGGGTTTATGACAATCTGCAAGGGGTCTACGTCAGCGAAAAAAAATTTGGGGGTCCATGAAATGAATATGGGGGTCCACGGTAGTGGATCTCAACACATACACTGATAGTACCTATTTAATTACATCATACTATCTTATAATATCAAAACATATACATTATTTATAAAAGTACCTATGAAGTAAAAAATTTATTATGTATGTTTATAAAATTGTGTAAGTGGTAGGATGTTGGTATTCGCTTTGTGGTCGCAATACATTTTGAACTTGTAAAAACCTGAGAGTCGCAGTCTCACAGCTTCGCTACCTTGCACTGACTTGATCAATTCGTTACTCTATAAATACGAATGTGGGACAAATACGTTTATTCGTTTCCTGAATCTTGAAAAGGAAAGTGCTAAGAAAATATTTTAAAAAATATAAACAGATAGTATATCACACAAATTATAGTGAGTCAGTGTTATTTTGTTTGAGAGTGCTGGAGAAAAGTAAGTACGTTATTTTTTATTAAATTTTAGTTTTGTACTCGTCGATAGCAAAGATAGATAAATTACGCCAATCATGATTTTAGTTATTAGTAGTTAAATATTCAATCATGCAAAATTACACGAGTACTCCTCAATAGTTTCTTTTTGAAAGTTTTAGCAATCGGTAATATAATTACAGTGCAATCTCCGTAATTCGAGCTAATTGTTGCAAGAAGCTGTTCGAATTATGGAATGTTTTCAGAAAAATCTAAAAATATTTTTAATATACAGCTGCTGGATTTTCTGTCTTATTTAAATAATTTAATTTTGCCCACAGATGACTGATGCCTTGTCCAAATCTAAAAAGAAATGTAGACAGTACAGTGTTGATTATTTGATTATTTGCCTTTTATGCAACAAAGTTTTGGGCAATGACGCTATGAAACCATCTAAACTGCAAGATTATCTGAGAAGATGCCACCCTCATAAAACAGAGAAAGATTTGAAATACTTTCAAACACTCAAAGATAAATTTCAGAAGAGACCTACACTGGACAGAATGTTCGCTTCGACGTCACAAAGAAATGATGATGGTTTGCGGGCGTCTTACAATATCTCGTTACTTATAGCAAAATCCGGAAAACCGCATACTATCGGAGAGAAGTTAATTTTGACAGCCGTTGAAGAGGTTTTAAAAACTGTTTTACACAAACCTGCATCTGATATCATTAAAAGAATTCCCTTAAGCAATAATACTGTTGAAAGACGTATTGATGAAGTGAGTTCTGATATTGAAAGCTTCTTATGTAATTATTTGCAAACGACCCATTTCTCTATACAACTGGACGAGTCAACTTTACCTGATAATGCAGCATTATTATTGGCATATGTTCGTTTTATTATGAATCAAGAAATCTACGAAGAACTGCTCTTCGCAAGAACTTTGATAACCGACACTAAAGCTGAATCAATATTTCATGTTTTGAAGGATTACTTAATTGAAAAAGCAATTCCTTTATCAAATATAATATCAGTAGCTACAGATGGAGCACCTGCCATGGTTGGACGTTATCGTGGATTTATAAGCTATTTAAAACAAAATGTGTCAGGGGTGTTAGCAATACATTGCGCCATCCATCGACAACATTTAGTTGCTAAAAATTTGAGTGTTAGATTGCATGAATCACTTCATTTAGTCATTGATGCAGTAAACCGAATCCGCGGTTATTTGCGCAGTTGTGTGAAGAAAATGACGAACACTTTCATCAATTACTCCTTCACAGCAACAGTCCCATAGAACGATTACATTTAACTCTCTTAGAACTCCTAAGTATTCTAAAAATCAAATTTCCAAAATTATGTCCAAAAGAACTAATGCAAAATGCAATTCTGGCATATAACACGTCAATTCACAGTGTTACAAAACAACGACCATTCGACCTCATAAATGGCCGCTTTGATGTCCTGGATCCATTTGACCTATCAGATCAGATCATTGTCAGCCAATTTATTGAGGATAGACGTGAAAGACTAAAATTTATTTACACCAAGTAACAAACGCTCATAAAAAGAATATTATAGAAAAGCGTAATGAAACTAGAGAGGATCCATCCAAATTTCCCCAAGGTTCAAAAGCACATGTCAAAGATAAAACCGCTCCTTGGAGTAAATTAAAACCACGATTCACAAAAACTGAAGTTAAGAAAGATTTAAGTACCAAAGTATGGACTACAGATAAACGTAAAGGTTTAGTACACAAATCTCAAATTCAAAAACCTAAAGCTTATTCTTCTATTCCGCAGGATCATGAATCTGGAAATCAGGAAGATTCCGATAATCATTCCATCCCTTCTACTAGTCACGACAATCAAAGCCAATAACGACGCAATTGTCACACCCTTAATAGCTCCGCTTTTCCCTTATTCGCTAGGTAACGCTATTATTATAGAATCGTATCATACTTTTATTCACTTTGTAGAAACTACTTCATTAACAAGACAGATTACGAATATCCAAAATTACCACGAAAGACTCCAAAATACTCTCAAGCCTTTAAATGCTGATCATTCAGACTTGCACTTTGGATTATCAAATCTCCTTAAGCATACAGAATTTCTAATACAAGAAGCTACGAAAAAATTAGATAGTATTGTTCCACGTATTCGTCAGAAACGAGGATTGATTAATCTCGTAGGAAAAACTTCAAAATTTCTTTTTGGTACAATGGACTCAGATGACGAAATCAAAATTAATAATGCACTTCATGAATTACAAAAGAAGGCAAATTCTGTGCATAGTCAATTGAAACTTCAGACCTCACTCACTAAAGAATTGATTGATATAATTAAAATTCTACAATTTCATTATTAAGTTCTAATCAGGTACAAATCAAAGCGAAATTGTATCATATGCAAAATGCGATGAATGCAACTGTAGGAAGTTTGACTGCTTATCTTCAAGCTGAAAATATTTTGCAGCAACTTAATCTAAATTGTCAAAATTTGATTACATTTTTAAATAATTTGGAGGACGCTATTATGTTTTCAAAATTGAACACTTTACATAGTTCTATCATATCAGTTACAGACATAAAGTATTTAGTGAAATTATATGGTAAAAAGAAAATACCAAACTTTCAAAATTTACAATCATACTATTTAGTAGCTGATCCACAAATTACATTTACTGATAATAAAATCTTGTTTTCTATAAGATTTCCTATATTATCTGATGAAAAATTCCAATTTTTCCGTCTATACCCAGTTCCTATTAGAAATTCAACCATTATTCTAACCCATTCCTTTATGGCTCTTGGAACAAGTCATCAGCAATTTAAAGAAGAAGAAGAATGTCCAGAAATTGAAAACGTCTACTTCTGCAAGAATCGACAAGAACCCATCCAAGGTTGTCTAAACGAGTTACTGAAGAAAGCAGAATTTTCAAAATGCCAGTTCACAAAGTTACAAGTATCCAGTCCTATTGTTGAAGCGATATCAGCAAAACACATTTGGTCATTCCCGCTGAACAACCAATCACAGCAGTCAAGTTGTGTGGTACTCAACAACCACTTATTTTAGAAGCACCAAGTTTAGTCGAAATACCCGAAAATTGCGGAATACAAATCAACTCATCCAAGTTTTGGAACAAGGAAGATCAAGTCAAAGGAAACCCTTTGGTCCTTCCCGAAATAAAATTTTGGAATGCACGATCGAACTTTGTGTCCAAGAAAGCTTTGATCCTCAAGACTATTGACCTCGGCAAGACCAAAGAGATGCAAGAACAAGCAAATTTTCTTCAAATGCCAGAAGAAGCCGCTATTGATCCCCTAATCTGGTTTTCTAGCAGCTCAGTTTTTACTATTTTTCTGCTTGTTGCTTGTTTTGGTATATTTTGAGAAAACAAATCCAGAAGAAAAACGATTTATCCCAAGACACGAAAGATGAAGAAAATCCCAATCCAGTGAAGAAAGGCCCAAAAAGAAGAAAAAGCCTGAAAACAGAAAACGTTCCTATTCAGTTTGCAGACTAGGTGGGGAGCAGTTATGATGCAGACAAGGATGAACGTCGAAGAAGAAAATGCTGAGGAAAGCATCCGAGCCGGAGATGATAAATAGAGGTTATTCATGCTTTTCCAAAGATTCCTCGTTTGTTCGTCATATTGTACATTTTATGTATTTTAAAATATTTCAAGTTAGTTTTGTAAAGTAAAATAAAATATTTAAAAAACCCGAACGGCCATTTCGGCAACATGTCTTATATATATATACATATAACATATCTTATATATATATGTACACATGCCTGCGAGGAATTTAATTTTGTATGTAACAAATCGTATTTTCTTCAAAATGTAGGCCGCATGAATGTCCCACCTCAAATGTCGGTCGAAAAGAATTAAATATTTGGTAAGGTATAAGTTTATTCATTGAACGTAAAAAAATTACCGTTTATATTGTATAATTCTGAACTTTCGAATAAATTCGTTTAGCGAATCATCGCAAACGCTTCAGTGTAAACAATTTTGAAAAGGGCATACCTTTTGTTCCTCCATTGATTTTTTCTCTTTTCTTCTTGGACGTACAGCACGTGCAATCTCCAGAATCCTTTTTGTCGGGACCGCTACCGCCACCTTGTTTACTGGCATCAGCACACGGGGTGCACTGGCAAGCAGCGCAGTCGCAACCCTAATCATATAACGTTAAATGGATTATTAGGACTAGAATAGGGCTGCACTCATTGAATATCTAAAAACATCACGTTAATATCACTTTTGGCTAAACAAAATGGCGGCGGGGGAAGCAAGGATGTCACATTTGTATCATACAGGCCCAGCCTTAGTTTCACACCCTGTATAAATAAGTAGCTTTTCACCAATATGCTACTTGACTCATAACTAATTTCGTAGAATAAATTAGTACTTATAGTATTTGACTTGGGAAAACGAAACATGTTGATTTAAATTTTATATACCAATATATGTCCAATGTTACAAAGTATTTTTTATTCTTTTATGTGAAACGATGAAAACACTATCGGCCATGATATGACGTCATACAAATTATAAACATTATAGAGGGTGTCCAATAAGTACCACGACAAACAAAAAAAGGAGGTAGGCTGTGGAGTGACCTCCCAAATAACAAAAACTTACCTATATAAAAGTGTCACCGTTTTTGAGATATTGAATTTTTTTTTCAATTTAAAAAAACGAACCCTTTCATCTGTGATCGTTAGCTGCATGTACAAATAAGGTTATACTTTGTTCATATTTTCTATAAAATACTACTAGATGGTTGCTTTATCATATACAAATGCAATGTAGTTAAAAGGTATTAAAGAACCATGATAAAATAAGGACTGTTTTGGAATGTATAACCTTCTGATATTGTTTCCTCAACTTTGATCCTCTGTGGTGAAACAAAAATGTACTGACCTAAAACTGCATTTATTGAAAAAAAATTACTCATTGCATACAGATTTCAGAACGGCGCCACCCGTTAGTATTTGGAATAGAAAAAAGTGATATTTGTAAGTGTCTGACACACACTACAATGTAGTTATTGGATTTAAATTTAAGTTACCGACCAATGACATGCTAAATGGTAAAACACCAGAATATAATGCAGTTATAGCCCCGTACATTTTTGTTTCACCACAGATGGTCAAAGTTGAGGAAAAAATATCGGAAGGTAATAAATCGCAAAATGTCCTTATTTGATCATGGTTTCTCAATATCTTTTAACTACATTGCATTTGTACTCGTATATGATACATGGGCTCCCAGATGAGGCGGCCCTTCCCAGGTACATTGACTGCTACCTCTCTCGAGGGGCAGCCATCTTTGTCTGCGAGGATGAATCCTCTAGGGCATGGTTGAAGGCCCACGTGGGGGATCTGCGGCCGTGGGGATTCGCAAGACTCATTACGATGAGCTTTGGAGACCTTCCCATATACCATCGCGTGATGGTCTGGTTCCCGGGTCCCAACCTGGGAAAGGAGGAACACAAAGGTGTGCGACTAGTTGATTCCATAAGCTGGAAGGTAATCGAAGGTAACCACAACAGGCTGTGTTGCGGTGGAAGTTCGGGGGTGTTTATACTCCTGAGCAAGAAGAAAAACATTGGGGCGACACCTGATGGAACTGGCCTGGCTCCAAACCAGGAGTCGGACCAGCCCAGACCGACGGGTGCTGTAGCGGTAGACCAGGCTCCTTCACAGGGGATGGGTCGACCGGGGCAGCTCTCGCTGGAACCACCGGAGGTTATGGACGTGGAGGCGGCGGGTCCCAGCGGGATATCCGCAGAAAACATCGCGGCGGGCCCTGCGATGGATCGATCCCCAGAGGGCAATGATAGCGACTCGGACGAGGACGGAATCCTGAACCGAGTCCGAGAACTCCTCCGTGGAAGCGGAGATGAAGGCGGCTGCTACAGTTAAGACTGCGGCGGCGACGGCGGTACGCCCGAATAGGGGACACTTACCGTCATTCGGGAAGGTGTAGCAGGGGCCTCTCAACACCCATGGTAAGTCTTAATTTCATTCAAATTAACTTACAACACTG